TTTTTTTTTTTTTTTTTTTTTTTTTTTTTGCTGTAGGGAACGTGTGCTCACCAGAAAGACAGAGTCAGACAGAAAGTGAGAAATCACCCCCCAGGGGGAATGGCTACACTGCAATCCCTTTTCCTCCATTCTCCTCTAGGGATCCTGGGCACACATGCACACACTGTGGTCGACTCCATGGGAGTCCAACGACATAGCCATTACACCAACTGCTGGTCCCATTTATCTCCATTCTTAACAGCCTGAATTTTGGTAACTATCTTCTGTCTTTTCCCTAACTGGTCTCCCAGCCAACAGACTGAACTCTGAAAAGTTAAATTTTTTTAACTTTAAAATTTTTCCTCCATTGGTATTAGAATGATCTTTCTTTCCACACTGTGTTTATCGATCTTTTTTTTTTTTTGAGAGGTTTTCGCTATAGGGCGCATGCGCTCGCCAGCCAGACAGAGACAGACATAGAGACAGAAAGCGAGAAATCACCCCCCAGGGGGGATGGCTATGCCACAATCCCTTCTCCTCCATCCCCCTCTCGGGATCTTGGGCACGCACGCACACACGCCCGGCGTGAGTTCTAAGCCACCAGGTCCAGGACACGAACCGCGGTCGACTACGTGGGAGTCCAGCGACGTAGCCATTACGCTAACTGCTGGTTCCCTGTTTATCAATCTTAACATACCCAACTTCACACTATCTTGTAATTTTATGTCTTTCCTACTTGAATAGAAGTTCCCTGAGTCCAAGGATTGTTATCTTGATCCTTTTGGGAACTACAGCATTAAGCACAGTATTTGGCATTTAGGAGCATTTAGTTATTAAACATCCATAAATGTTTATTGAATAAATTCATGATTGGTCTGAGTTTCAGTCTGATGGTTAATGGAAGCTCAAAACAACTGAGGGACTATTCAAAATATTAATTTTGGTAAGAAAAATTCATACAGACTTACAAGTCAGGATGCTTTTACCCCTATTACATAAGACATATGAACTACTATAGGCTCACAAGAACTGCTACCATTACTACAAGGCTACTCAGTTTAGACTACTATAATAAAGTACCATGAGCTGGATGGCATATAAAAAGCAGAAGTTTATTTCTCACAGTTTTGGAGGTGGGCAGTGCAAGATCAAGCCAGCGTGATCAGGCTTTTGTGAGGACCTTCTTCTGGGTTATAGATAGCTGACTTCTCATTGAATTCTCACATGATAGAAAGAGAGTGGGAATTCTCTCAGAGTCCCTTTTAATAAGGGCACAATCTCATTCATGAGGGCTCCACCTTCATAACCCAATTACCTCCTAAATGCCCCACCTTTCCTGTACTAATTTTTTCTTAGTTCAGATTTTATCAAATTACCATACACCGGGTGACTTATAAACCACAGAAATGGGGCCGGCAGGTAGCATGGTGGTTAAGGGTGCTGGACTCCCACATGGCTGACCGCGGTTCATGTCCCGGACCTGTCAGCTTGCTTTCTCACTCTCTCACACCCTGCCCCCCTGTCAAATTAAAAATTAAAAAAAATTACATAGTTTGATAAATTAAGCTAAATAAAATAATTCTTAAAAAAAATAAACCACAGAGGGACCAGCAGTTGGTATAATGGCTATGTCGCTGGATCCCCATGTACTTGACCGCAGTTCAAGTTCTGGACCCGGTGGCTTAAACTCATGCTGGGGGCATGTGCGTGTATGCCCAGGATCCCGAGAGGAGAATGGAGGAGAAGGGATTGGAGCATGGCCATTAATGAACCATGTTCATTAATATCATCAGCAGTCTTGGGACCAGCAGTTAGCGTAATGGCTATGTCGCTGGACTCCCATATAGTCAACCATGGTTCGAGTCCCGGACCCAGTGAATTAAACTCACGCCAGGTGTGAATGTCCAAGATCCCGAGAGGAGAATGGAGGAGAAGGGATCATGGCATGGCCACTGTCCCCCCCCCCCTTGGGGGGGTGATTTTTCGCTTTCTGTCTCTGTCTCTCTCTGTCTTTCTGGCAAGTACATGAGCCCTATAGCAAAAACCTCTGTAAATAAATAAATAAACAAACCACAGAAATGTATTTCCCATGGTCTGGAGATTGGAAGTCCAATCCCAGGGTGCCAGCATCACTGGGTTCTGGTGAAAGTCCTCTTCTGCTTTCAGACTGCCAATTTCTCCTTGTACCCTCACATGGCGGAAAGAATGAGCTAGCTCTGTATCCTCTTCTTAAAGGGAACTAATAACATTAATGAGAGTGGCACCTTCGGGAACTCTAAAGTGCCATCTCTCTGACCACCAACACATTAGGGATTAGGTTTAACATATGAATCTGGGGGCAACACAATCAGTTCATAGCAAAGTCAAATAGTGTTTCTTTACCATTACTAAAGCAGCAGTTCTTCCATTTTTAGAGTAGTCCCATTTTCCCTTACTTTCTCTAACTACTTCCATCTGTGCTCAATAATGTCTCAGTTTTCTTGTTTTTAATTTGATAGAGTATTTGATGTGAAGGAGAAATAAATGCTTAAAAGTTTTTTGAAAAAACTGAACATAGAAGCTTATGTTTCCCCATGGTGAGATTATGTTGTCAGAATAGTATGCAAAATGGTAATGATGTCATAAACCTCTAGAACAGGCTGCACCACATAAAATGCAGTAGTTACCTTAGTAGAAGAAACATTTGCACAAAGCCCTGGGCATGAATCTTTTTATTTATGTCCTACTTTTGTGCATTTGGACGAATAATTGTTTAAACATAAGCCGGAGTAATGAATCTTTTACTACAGGTATGTGCCTAACCTTAAAACTTAAGAATTGTGATTTATTATAGTATGCATTCTGATGCTTAATTAGAAAAGTTAACCGTGTTGTAGAAATCTGCTGTTACTGTGGGGTTATTGTCAATAGATATTCAAGAATTTCTAGGCCAACAGCTAATAATTTTACTTCATTGTGAGAAATTCAAGCCAAATATAAAAAAATACCAACTTGTGGTCCCACTTAACCCTCCTTTCCCACCCAAGCCACCAGCCCCCCTCCACCCCCATCCATCAAACTAGATAATACTGTATGAACGAATCTGGCATGGGATTTAACATACAGTAGGTTTTTGACAAACTTTGACTTGTAGAATTTGGCTGGGAACATGTTAGAGGAAAGAAAATGACCGTGGAACCTTATCAGGCTTAAAAAAAAAATCGAGGAAACTTGATTTTGACCTACAGAAGCAAACCACTATAAAAGTAGAAGAAAATCTGGTTACCTGACATTTTCACTGATTATACACTCAATCTTTTTGCAGGAGCTAAAGACTCAATCCAGGAAAAGATGGACAATTTTAGGAAATACCTACTCATGATCACAGTTGGTGTTATGGTCATAGCTTTTGTCTTTACCTGTTTTTATTTTCTCCATTATAATTGTTTGAGTGATGATGCCTTTACAGGAGGAATGTAAGTTTCACACCTTTAAGAATGTAAGGTGGGAGGTTTAATTGTTGTTCAAATTACTTAATGTTAACTTTAGACTTTGGCAGAGATACCAATTTCTTGTGGGCAAATACTTTTACTTAAATGATATCATCTCTTAAATACTTAAATATTCTCAAGTATAGGCCAGCCAGTGTCAGAGTGGTTAAGGTGGCTGGTTCCCACATGGCCATCTCTGCAGTTGGAGTCCCAGATATGACTGCCTGAAAAACTTGCTGGGTGTGTGCCTGTACATGCCCAAAATCCCTAGAGGAGAATGGAGGAGAAGGGATTGGGGCATTGCCATCCTTCCTGGGTCGGCATACTTTCTCTACTTCCCCCCCCTTTTTTTTTTTGGAGAGGTTTTCGGACAGGTTTTCGCTATAGGGCACGTGCACTCGCCAGACAGATAGAGACAGAGTGAGAGACAGAAAGAGAGAAATCACCCTCCAAGGGGGATGGCCATGCCGCAATCCCTTCTCCTCCATTGTCCTCTAGG